TTATTAAAGTAAATTAAACTTCATTAAAGAAAGAAAAGCTAATTAAAAAAGCCATATAGTGTTNTCAGAGATGCTCTTCAGCAGACCTCGGTTGTAACGAGTGCTTATNTGAGTTACTGTTCTTTATCAGCTGGAACCAGTCTGGCCATTCTCCTCTGACAAGGCATTTGTGCCCACAGAACTGCCGCTCACTGGATATTTTCTCTTTTTCAGACCATTCTCTGTAAACCCTAGAAATGGGTGTGCGTGAAAATCCCAGTAGATCAGCAGTTTCTGAAATACTCAGACCAGACCATCTGGCACCAACAACCATGCCATGTTCAAAGTCACTTAAATCCCCTTTCTTCCCCATTCTGATGTTCGCTTTGAACTGCAGCAGATCCTCTTGACCATGTCTACATGCCCAAATGCATTGGGTTGCTGCCATGTGATTGGCTGATTAGAAATTTGCATTAATGAGCAGTTAGTTAGGTGTACCTTATTAAGTGGCCTGGATTATTATAAACAAAACGCAAAACTCCTAATAAATTTCCTGAATCCTGTAGGATTTTTTGTGATGAACGTATATTTGAGGTGAAATATGACCCAGATTTGTTTATTTTTTTACATTTTTTGGTCAGTGACAGCTGATTTCGATCAGGACGTGTGTTTGTGAGCTTCTCCCATTAAAAGTGCACTGAGTAATATTTGACCACAGTGTCCTAAAACACAGCCAATCAGCAGAAAGTGGGCGTGTCTAGTAATGATAGAACATATCAAAAGGGGGCGTGGCCTGTTGGGGTATGGGCGTGTTTGATTAGCTGCTCTTAAACATCTGCATGGTTTGTTAATATTGTCTCAGTGCACCTTTACAGAAAACTGATGGTTCTACAGTGAAGATCTGCTTTCTCCTTCCTGGTCATCAACAGAGGAGCAGAAATCTTCATCTGTCTCTCAGTCTTTCTTCTCCTCCTCGGTGTCGTCCTCTGACTGTGTGAGTTTCTCCAGTGTGGAGGACGAGGGAAGCATCTCCGCATCTCCATCCTCAGTCTTTCTCTTAGTGCTTTCCTGCACAAACTCCTGGATCTCCAACGGAAGCCGCCGGAATTTATCCTGGTATTCCTGATCCAGGTCATTCTGGAGCTGCAGACATTCAAGAAGAAGATATTCAAGAGGAAACAGAAACTGACCATTATATGCACAATAATAAACAGTACAACTGACCCAAAATTGTCCATTAGTGCACATTAACAGAAAATCACCCAAATCTGATCCTTATTAAACATTAAATATTAAACTGACCCAAAACTGACCATTAACATAAGACTGACCCAAAAACTGACTGTCATTTCACATTAACTTAAACTGAACCAAAACTAACCATTATTGCACATTAACAGAAAACTGACCCAAATTGCACATTAACATAAAACTGACCCAAAACTGACCACTTGAGCATAATAACATAAAACTGACCCAAAACTGACCACTAGTTCAAGTTAACTGATAAAAACTGATCTAAAACAGACCATTTGTGCTCATTAAAAAAAATTGACCCAAAACTTAGCATTAACATAAAACTGACCATCCATTAACATAAACTGACCGCTAGTTCATATTAACATAAAACTAACCCAAGACTGACCATTAGTGCACATTATCATAAAACTGACCCAAGTAGAAAATTAACATAAAACTGACCCAAAACTGACCATTAGTGCAAATTAAAATATAACTGACTCAAAACAGACTATTAGT